GACAAAGTTCTGTCAGAACACTGGCAAGTGCCATTTCCTTGCTCCTTTGACAAGAAGCTCTACTGGAAGGAATTATCTCCCAAATTAACAAGTGAATCTTGTTGGTACAAGATCAGCCTGAGTGGCAGTTTCTGAACTCTTGGTGTCTGGACTTCAGTAATATGACATGTAGTGTATCACCTCTGGCCTGTTGTGACTGTTATATTGGCATATACCCACTGTAAAAGCTATTTTTGCTGTGCAATAAAGCAGATGCAGTTCTCTGAAACTGTCTCCAGAGGGGTTTCTCTGCACCCCCAAAGGGCAGGCCCTTTATTACCGCTGTTGACCTGTGACGAGTCCTTGCTTCCCCAATGTTGAAGTATAACACCAGAGAAGCATGCCGAGGCAAGGTCAGAGTGGAAAATAGAAGTTTATTAAAGGACAGCAGAAAAGACTTCTCCTGGAGGAAGAAGGGGACCCAAGAGATGGAATCCATTGAAGGGAGGATGTGTTCCCCTTTTTATAGTTTTTTGAATGATGGAATGTAGGTGGGAAGGCCCGAAGGGTAGGACACAGATGGGCCAAAGAAGTAATCTGGGCAGGAAGGACTTTTGAGTCAGCATCTTCAAGTTTGCTGGGAGCTGTTCATTAACACTCCTTTGGGATGGGCTCTGGGCCTTGGGCTTTCCCCGGACTTCATTAACATTCCAAGAGTTGTTCAGCTTTTCCCGGAATTCATTCTCAACATGGCCTCCATTTTGGATCTTACTCGATATTAGACCCGATTTACCTAACTACACTGACTACCTATCTTTAAATCTGGACTCACCTTCAGCAATGGAGCTCAGTGATAGAGACTTGCCCAGCGTACACACGGTTTGGGGTTCCTTCCCTAGCACTGAAAGAAAAGTAATTAAAAATGGAAATAGATATCTCAAGATGCCCAGCAATACATGACTCAAAAGGAAAAATTCCCATTATCCCACCACGCTTTATTTCTCTCATATAAAGTGGAAATTCTTCTGGGGATAGAACGTTCCTGAAGATAAATGTTCTGTGAGTTCTTCTCTCAGGACACCCTCTCCTGGGGTCCTGCTTCAGCCCACTGGATACAATGCCGTCTTTCCATTCCTAGAAGTGTTTGGGGTAAATGAAGTAATGATTGCCTGTCCTGGGACACCACTCTCATTCTGGTCATGAGGATCATGTCATGGTAATGTCACAGATACCCCATATTATGGTAAAAGTAGTGAAAACTAATGACAGAAACAGAATGGGATTTCGCCTTTTAAAAATCCTGTTCAGGTTATAATTTCAGAAACCACATCAATATTTCTAAAAGATCCTTTTGGCAATGTGATCCCTGAGATATCTTCTAATGTCCTGCAAGTGACAATGACAACTTTCCTTAAAGACAGTGGGGTCTCTGAGGATACTCCAGGAATTTTAACAGTGCTCCACTTCACCTTTTCCTCTTCTCCCTCTCCCCCTCTCTAACCTGGGGCAGGCAACAAGATTACCTTGAGTTATTTGTGCTCTACTGGAAGGAATTATCTCCCAAATTAACAAGTGAATCCCAACACACCATCAGGGGGCCCTGGGACCCCCAGTCAGGGCACACCTGGAATGAAGCCTTTGAATAGCTTCTTAAAATCTCCCTGTCTCTCCTAATGGGCAGAATTGCTGCATCTGGGACAGGAGCCCACTGTGTTTCTCTTTGCTAGCAAAACAATAAAACTTCTTTTTCCTTTTTCTCAAAACCGTGTCCATGTTCGTGAATTGGCATCCAGGACAAGGACCAAACTTTCAGTTACAGATGATTAAGATCTAAGGGATTTATCAGCCTAGCATGAGAGCACACGCCTGCAATTCCAGCTGCTCAGAAGGCTGAGGCGGGATTGCAAGGTCAAAGCCAGCCTGGTCAACTTAGTGAGAGGCACTGTCTCAAAATTTTAAAAATTTAAGAGGGCTAGGGATGCAGTTCAGTGATAGAGTGCATGTGCCAGGCCCTGGGTTCAATCCCCAGATGGTTAAAAAAAAAGAAAAAGAAAAAAAAAAAAAAAACAAGGAAAAAGGAACTTATTTACTGTTCAAATTGTATTTCCTGCACAGTTATATTAATTCTCTTTACATCTGTGAAGCACATACATATTACTGTACATATTGGCGGAGTTTGAATGTCCAACATTCAGGTATTGCCTATTTAAGAGGGGAAGAGGCTAATAAAGATTAAGGCCCTTACGAAGAAGCTCCAGAGAGTAGGGGTAGGGGAGGGTGGGGGAGAGAAAGAGGAGGGTGGAGCTATGGAACAGGCCAGTCAACAAATCATTTCCACGCCATTCATTGCCATGTGTAATGTCAAAGGAAATGCAATGTTCTTGGTGTCAAATAAGAGAGGACAACCAGAGATACTGTCAGTCACTAGTGACGTTCATTCCAACAGTGCACACAACACCAAAACCCACACAAATGTCTGTGCAGCCTGTTAGGTAAGAATAGAGTCTCAGGTCAGAGTTCTGGGCTTCAGTCCTGCTTTTGCCATTGATCCCTCTATCACTTTTGAAGGTTTGCTTTGTTCTGTATCCTGTGCCTGTGTGTGCATGAATGTTTGCTCTTAGAGCCTCACTTTCTGTAACAGAGGTCCCTTCACCTTCTGAATATAGCCCTCATTGCTCTAAAGTTTATTTTTTTTTAATTTTTTTCCTCTCTCTCTCTCTCTAACAAGATTAAAGAGACAGTGTTATCTTTTCTTCTCCTAGTTAATAGCCCTCCAACATATACAACAACATATACAATATATAGGAAGGAGATGCCTGCTGAGGATCTAGGAAGTGAATATGTCCCAAATTGACAAATGAATCCTGAAACTCCATCAGGGTGCCCTGGGGCCCCCCTATCAGAGCACAAGTGGAATGTAACCCTTGTAATTCCTTTAAAACACCCCTATTCCTCCTGATCCAGAGAGTCACATTCTCCTGAAATCAGAATTGGCCTGACTACCACACACATCACAAGACCCTGTTGACAGATATTTGGATTGCATGGAAGAATTGTTTTGGTTATACATTTCAGAGTCATTTGTTTTACATCAGGGCCATAGTCAGGGACGTCAGAAGGTCCTACTCTTATTGTCAACACAGATATAGTTGTCAGGAGGCTGAAAAGGAGATATTTTAAGCAAGCATAAAATGGAGTCAGGGCAGAATGAAACGCCGTTACTTTGGTTCTATTTCATCTATTAGGGCATTACAGTTATAGATAATAGCTGGGTTCATTTTGACATAATGACACGTGCAAGAAAATTGACTTATTCCATATCAGTCCCTGGTACCTCCTTTTCCATCCCCTCCTCCATCCCCCTATTTCCCTTCCTCTGCTGGTTTATCTTCCATTCATTTACTTATTTATTTTTAATTTAATTTTTAATTTTACTTATTTATTTTTAAGTTCCCACTTTGAGAACTACTATACTAGCAAGGAACCAGGAAGGTGTTAGTAGGTGGGTTGGAGACTCTTAGCAAAAAACTACTCAGGGGAATGAGGCTGTAGCTCAGTGGTAGAGCACTTGCCTAGCACGTGTGAGGTACGGGTTGGATCCTCAGCACCACATAAAAATAAAATAAAGGTATTGTGCCCATCTACAACTAAAAATATATTTAAAAAAGTAAATAACTACTCAGGGAGCACCAAATCTTAGTGACATTGAGAAAGTCACTAATTTCCACAAGGAAGAGCCATCACAGCTTCTGGTGACAGAAGAAGTCACAATGGAATCTAAAAAGACATACATAACCAGAGAAACACACTCCAGAGATTTCAAAAAGTTTCTAGGGGACATTACCACCATGGGAGTTCCATCTCTGTTCCATTTTATTCATTTATTTATTTTTGTGGTGCTGGTGATTAAACCCAGGGCCTTGTGCATACAAAGCAAGCACTTTACCAACTGAGCTATATCCCCAGCCCCCTCCTTGCTACTTTTTAAATCCTTCTTTTCACATGCAGAACTCACTCAATAGAACAGGGTGATCCTCCCTCTACTCAGCTGGTGTTGCATTAAAAAAATTTGGACAGCCTCTTTCTTCTCTGTCAGTTAGAGGCTGAGGTCAAATTCCACCAGAGAATGGCAGGGAGATGGACTTGGCCTGAAGCCTTCCCAACTCATGTCTGTGAGAGGCACGGGTGTGGTCTAGTCCTGATCAAGCGTCACTGAATTATAGAAGGACAGTACCAGGCAAGTATTTATGGCTTCTTGAGCCCGAGGAGGAGACTGATTTTTTATCCTTGCTCATCAAATAAATTGTTCCTGAGATGTAGTCTCCAAGCCATTTGGCTCTGTTGGGGTGAAGAACAAATGGCAGAAAGGAACAAGGAATTCTGACTCTGTTTTCAAGAAGGCAGCTTTGGAACAAGAAAGAGAGAGCCAGGCGTGGTGTTACATATCTGTCATCCCAGCTCCTTGGGAAGCTGATACAGGAGGATAACAAATTTGAGGCCAGTCTGGGCAACTTAGAGAGACCCTGTCTTATAACAAATAATAATAATAATAATAATAATAATAATAATAATAATAATAATAATAATAATAATAATAATAAAAGGTTGAGAGTGTAGCTCAGTGGTAGAGCACTTCCCTAGCATGTAATTCCCTAGGTTCAATCCCCAGTACTGAAAAAGAGAAAGAGACAGAGAGAGAGAAGCAGGATTGTGTTCAGTGAAAGGAAGTGAGACTTCTCATGATTCAGAGACCTGGGTAGTAGATAAGGAAAGCACGAGGTTTATACTGAGTTCTGAAGACATTCCTTGAGGGACTATCACTTAAGTGTTTATCCATAATAATTTCTCAACTCCATTAAAGATACGCTAAGAGGAATAATTGTATTAACATAAATCAGAAGGCCATATAGATAAATAGAGTCATATACACTGTGAGTGCAGACTCAGGATTTCTTGCTGCCCACCTTTGAATCTGCTCATATTTACAGCCTTACTACCAAAGGATAGCACAGGCAGTGAGATTAGGTTATTCTGCTGACAATTCTCTGCAGGGACTTCTTGATGTCCTTGTTCCTCAGACTGTAGATGAAGGGGTTCAGCATGGGGGTGACCATGGTGTACATCACTGAGACCACCATACTCTTTCTGGAGGAAGTCGAGTCAGATGAACTGAGGTACACCCCAAGGCCTGTTCCGTAAAATAAGCAAACAACTGTTAGGTGAGACCCACAGGTGGAGAAGGCTTTGCACTTCCCACCTGAGGATGGGACTCTTAGAACAGAGGAAACAATTTTACAGTAGGAGAAGAGGATGCCTGCGATAGGCAGAAAACCAGAGATGGTGCCAACGAGAAATATGACTATGTTGTTAGCAGAGGTATCAGAACAGGCAAGTTTGAATAACTGAGGAACATCGCAGAAGAAATGAGGGATTTCTATATCTTGGCAGAAGGTCAGTTGTGACACCATCAAGCAGTGTACCTGGGAGTCCACAAGACTGATGGAGAAGGACACCAGGGCCAACAGGCCACAGAGGCGGGGGTTCATAATGATTGGGTAATGTAAAGGGTGGCAAATGGCTACCAAGCGGTCATAGGCCATCACGGCCAGCAGTAGACTATCCAAACATCCAAAAAGGAAAAAACAGGACACCTGAGTTAGGCAACCTGCATAGGTGATGGATTTGCTGTGTGTCTGGAAGTTCACCAGCATCTTGGGAATTGTAGAGCTGCTAAAGCCAATGTCAGCCAAGGACAGGTTGGAGAGGAAGAAGTACATGGGGGTGTGGAGGTGGGAATCAGAGCTGACGGCCAGGATGATGAGCAGGTTCCCAAGAACCGTGACCAGGTACATGGACAGGAACAGTCCAAAGAGGATAGGTTGCACCTCTGGATCATCTGAAAGGCCCTGGATCAGAAATTCCAAGACACCTGTTAAATTCTGTGGTTCCACATAGCAGAAGCACCTTTTAGAAAAAAATAAAAAATAAAGGTTGGAATAAAGAAAAAACAAGCACATCGGGACCCATTACTGTGTGTTATGAATTAAAGCAATTCATAATGAAAGCATACACACTTGTGCTGGAGATATAACTCAGTTGGTAGGGTGCTTGCCTCATATGCACAAGGTCCTGGGTTCAATCCCAAGCACCACAAAAAAAAAAAAAAAAAAGATACACACTTGAGGATCATACACATTAGCAATATTTTTTAATTATGGCAAATACTTTCTCCTTTGGATTCTCTCTGCAGTTTTAGTTCCATTAATCTGCTGAATCTAAATCCATGAAAATCCACTTTAGAAACTCTAGAAAGAAGAATCTATGGGAGCATGGATATTTAGAGATTAAGAAAAATCCATAAACATTCTAAAATATGAGTCTCCCCCATTGACTGGAACATAAATGTGTCAGCTTTCTCTTACTGAAACAAAATACCTGCGATATCCAGTGTGAAAATAAAAAAGATGTTTATTTTGTCTGTGACTTGGTCCTATTGTTTTGGGCCTGTGGTGACACAGTAAGTATGATGGGGGCTGTGGCAGAGGAGGCCTGCTCATCTTACGGTGGCCAGAAAGGAAAGAGAGAGGACGGGGCTGGGGTCCTAATATTCCCTTCAAGGGGATGCCCCCAGTGAGCTTATTTCCTCCCACTAGCCCCTCCTCTTAAAGGTTACACTAACTACCAACAGCACACAGGTTGGCCACCCAGCCCTTGACACATGGGACTCTGGGGGACATTTTGGATCCACTCTATAGCAGTAAATATTATCCTTCTCTTTTAAAGAAAAAAAAATTGTTCTAATTATGGAGTCCTCCCTCCCCCCCATACAAGGAATTAAGCCCAGAGGTGCATGCCAGGCAAGTACTCTACCTCTTAGCTACAGCCCCATCCCTATCCCTTCCTATTTTGTTTTTTTAATTTCAAGACAGGGTCCGGCTAAATTGCCTAGACTAGCTTCAAACTTGGAATTCTTCTTCCTCAGCCTCCCAAGAGCTGGGATCATAGGTGTCCACTACCATGCCCAGATAAAGAATGCTTTAAATAGTCAAGTGTAATTATTTTACTCAAATGCAGTTCCATAAATTCCTTTGTAGTGGACTATTTATTTATAAGCACCCTTTCATGTCAGACATGGTGATGCACACCTGTAATTCCGGCTAACCTGGGAAGCCGAGGGAGGAACATGCTCGAGGCCAGCCGGAGAATAGCAAGACACATGGAAAGGGCTGGACATGTTGCTCAGTGGTGGGGTGCTTGCCTAGCACATATGAAGCCCAGCCTTATCCACCATGAAAACCAATAAAGAAACAATAACAACAACAATAAAAATATCCTTTAATAGCTGCATAACAAAGAACCTGGCTGGATATAGGCATAGACTTGTAATCCCAGTGATTTGGAAGACTAAGGCATGAGGACCACAAGTTTGAGTTCAGCTTGGGCAATTTAGTGAGACCCTTTCTCAAAATAAAAAAAATTTAAAAATTTTTTTAAAAAAGAAAGGACTGGGGATATAGCTGAGTGGTAGAGCACTAAGGGGTTCAATCCCCATTACTGAAAGAAAGAAAGAAAGAAAGAAAGAGAGAAAGAAAGAAAGAAAGAAAGAAAGAGAGAAAGGCAGGAAGGAAGGAAGGAAGGAAACCTGTTTCCTCCTATGGAGGTGGCAGGAGATGGGATCCCTAGAAGTTCATGCTCATGGGCAGGAGCCCATCCTCACCACAATGAAAGCCACAGGCAGCCTCTTTCCTTGAATGCTCCTGCATCATAGAAAAGGGAACTGGGGCTCTTCTGTCTGCCTATGCCAACTGTCCTGCCTGTGAGGAGGAATCAGGGCTCCCCACACTCCCTCCGCCATCGCCATCTGACCCTCCCCCTCCACTCACTGGGCTGTGCTCTGTCCCTGTGTCTGGCCCCCCACCCGCCCCCCTTGCACTCACTGGGCTGTGCTCTGTCCCTGTTGGGGCATGGTGAGGAATTGGGATCCACTGCTGTTCCCAGCTTGGTGAATGGTGAGGGTCCAGGCTCCGTCCTCAGGGGCAGCAGGAAGGCAGAGTCAGTCATGGACTGACTGATGCAAACAGTGGCTTTGAGAAGAAGAGACATAGATATCAGAGCCCACCAGACTGGCACCAGCAACCTGAACATCTCCAGGACACAGATTCATTATTTGTACTTAGACAAAGGGCACAGAGCTCACGATTAGCATAATTGGTCCACATTCTCCCAGTCTCTGAGGACTTGCTAATTTTAATGGAAAGGAAAAGATGAGGGCTAGGGTCCTTCCTCCTCTAGGGAGAAAGCTGGCCTGCAACCTTTGGCTTCTCTTAAAACAAAATGTGATTCTTTCTTCAGTTTAGTTTATGACTTTTGACCTTGATATCTGTAAGTCCATCGTTTTCATCAACCACTTGAGGAAGAACTGGGTTTTCTATAAAGAATCTGAGGCAAATTCCATGTTCCCAGTTAAGATTTATGTCTCTAAGAAAAAACTTCTTCATTCTGTTTGGTAGTCTTTGCTTGGGAGTTTTGGTTTATATGCATGGGATATTTATGGGGGCTTCTGCTTATTTACATAACAGCCCAAGTCCTAATTTTTCTTTTAAAAGTGTGATATTAGTATACTAGAAAACGGCTATTGATGAAAGAAATTAAAGCCACAAATAAATGAAACAATATTTCCTGTTCATAAAGTGGATGAATACAGTTAAAATGTCTACTAACCAAAGCAATCTACAGATTGAGTGCCATCCCAATCAAAATTCCCATAGCATTTTTTTAGAACAATTCTAATTTTTTTTTTTTTTGGTACTGGGAATTGAATTCAGGAGCACTCCACCACTGAGCCACATCCCAGTCCTATTTTATATTTTATTTAGAGACAGGGTCTCACTGAGTTGCTTAGCGCCTTGTTGTTGCTTGAGGCTGGCTTTGAATTTGCAATCCTCCTGCCTCAGCCTCCCAAACTGTTGGGACTACAGGCATGTGCCACCACCATGCCCGGCACAATTCTAAAATTTATATGGAATGTGAAAGTCTCTTGATAGCCAAAGCAATCTTGAGAAAAATAACAAAAGTATCCTGATTTCCAGCTATATTATAAAGTCATGTAATCAAAAGAGAATGATACTGGCATGAAAACAGACACATCGACTCATGGGACTGAACAGAGAATGCAGAAATAAGCCCATGCATATGAAGGTAGCTAGTCTTCGACAAGGATACCAAGAACACCCTACAGGGAAGGAGGGCCTCTTGAAGGAATGGTGTGTGACAACCTGGGCATCCACAGGCAAAGGAATGAAATTGGACTTACACAAAAATCAACTGGAATAGATTAAAGACTTAAAGGTAAGACCTGAAACCATAAAACCTCTGGTAGAAGACACACGGTTGAACTTCCTTGACATTAGTCTTGGCAATTTGTAATGGCCACCAAAATCAACTAAAGCAAAAATGTTTCAAGTGTGACTACATCAAACTAAAAATCTTTGTGGTTTGAGTTTTTGTTCATTTTTTTTTTCAGCAAAGGAAATAATCAACAAAACAAAAATGAGTCCAGACGATAGGAGAAAGTATTTGCAAACCACATGTCTGACAAGAGGTTAGTATCCAAAATATATAAAAGAAACTTATACAACCCCAAAGCAATAAATGAGTAAGTAAATAACTGGATTTAAGAATAAGCAAAGGTCCTGAATAGGCATTTTTCCAAAACATACAAATAGCCAACAGGAATAGGAAAAGTTGCTTGACATCATTCAACATCCGGGCATGCAAATCAAAATCACAATGAAATAACTGCTCCCATTTGTTAGAATGACCTTTATGAAAAAGACAGAAGATAACATGCCAATGAGGATGTGCAGAAAAGAAAACCCTTGCACACTGGTGGTCACAATGTAAATTGCTTCAGCCATAGTGGAAAACCATGTGGAAGTGCCTCACAAATGTGAAACTAGAACAATAGTAGGAACCAGCAATCTCGCTTGGGGTATATGTCCAAAATAAATAAAATGTGCATCTCAAAGAGGTCTCTGTACTCTCATGTCCTTGCAGGACTGTTCACCAGAACCAAGATATGGAAAACACCAAGGTGTCTGTTGGTGGGTGAAAGGATAAAGAAAATATGGTGTGTATATATATAATATTTAATATATTTTCAGCCATAAACAAGAAAGAAATCTTGATAAATGAAGTAAACCAGACACAGAAGGAAACTCCTGATGATCTCACTTACATGTGGAATCCAAAAAAGTCAAACTCATAAAAATAGAGTAGAAAGGTGGTTGCTATCAGGTCAGGGTGGGAGATGTTGGTAAAAGGGTATAAATATTTATTTATGAAATGAAAAAATTCTGAAGCTTGATGCATAGTGGTATCATTGTAGGTAATTATGTTTTGATTACTTGAAATTTACTGAGAGCTGTGGAGTTGGCGCAATGCTGCTCTTCTCTCTGGATTGTGCGATGGGTTGATCGTGGAGGAGGGCCAGTGCTGTGCAGTGGACACCCAGCTGGATACGGATTGTGTGCTTTGAGGATTAGCTAAAGCAATCTTGAGAAAAATGAACTGGTGTAGTGGGAAGTTCGACCCTTGGGATGGAAGAACAGGGCATCAGGAAATGGAGCCCACCTGCCAGTCAGGGAGTTGCTGTGTATGGGGAGGAGAGCCACAGGGAAGGTGCTGGGGTTAAAGTCCTGCTCATTCTCCTTTTACATTCACTAGGCAGATGACATTTCCTCACAGCCAATGAACATGCCACTGTTTGCACAACTTAGTTCTGTAAATGTCCCTAAATATTTAATTGTTAATTGTAAACCTATTACCAAAACTTGTTCTGAATTTCTCATAAAAATGAAGTCTAAAAAAAAAAAAAGAAATTTACTGAGGGATCTTAAGTGTCTTCACCACAATACACACGTGATCACATGAGGTGATAGATATGTTAATTAATTTGATGTATAAGTATATCAAA